AAAAATGTATATGAAAAAAGAAAACTCCCCTAGTTTACTGCTCATTGATTAACAAAATTTTTTAGAAAAACTTTAAATTGTAAAGTTCGTCTTTTCTCTCTTTTCAAGGTAGACTGCCAATTATTAATGAAATATTAGCAATTAAAACTTAAATTTTAAAATATAAAATACACATACCCACAAGATATTGGCCCTGCAATAAGGTCGCCGCTTTAAAATTCGATGAATACCAATTCATAATAAGATATTATCTCGACATCCTGGTGTCTCTTTTTTTTTTTTTTTCTTTAATATGCGGTAATATGTACCGCGAACTACATACAGTAAAGATTCGATAAGAATTCGAAATTCGGGACCGCTGCGCAACAGTTACGAGATAGGTACTAGATTTTTCAAACTGTATTTTACCGACACTAACGGACGCAGAAAGAGACAGCAGACAAAGAAGAGAGAGATATTGAAAGTCAAGCAGTCCTAAAATATCAAATACCCACATATCGGTGAGACAACACTAATATAAAAGAAAAACTTTTTTATTTACTGTGTTTTGCTGATAAAAATTTTACTAACATATCCATAATATTTTTCTGATTAAAATGAGACCAAACACGGTATAATTCGGTTTGCATTTAGTTACTTAATAAGAAATTCCACACAAACATACCTATGTACACACACACATAATTACACCCTCGCTATAAATAATTAATACATATTTACATACATACACACTTTATTATATCTTTACTATATCTATTAAATGTAAGACACCTAAAAAAGATTACATATAAGGATTTACAAAACATAAGAAATTAAAAAATTATAAAAGGTCAAAAAATTCAAAAGAATTACTAAAATTAATGAAACTAACAAAAAATTACAAAAGTACAACTTATACCTATTTATAATTATACAGAATGTTAACGGATTTACTAGTCAGCATAGAATAGAATTTATATTCTATTTAAAAAATTGAATGTCATCTTCATTTCTCAAAAAATAATACAAACTCAAAAAGTTCACATACGTTGTTATATTATTTGCAAAAAATAGTATCACTTTTTTCTCTTTCATTTTTTTCACATACTCATCAAAAACGCCGACTAGTAAATCCGTTAATATTCAGTATAAAGTATGACTACCTATAATTATATTATTTATTTATAGTTTTTTACGTTGAATCTTCTGATAATAGTTCCTCTAATTCCAACGTCAATTTAATGCTTTGCATTGAATGAAATTTTAAACACTGCATAATATGTTTTATTCGCTCCGATTTCGAGCTTGTGGTTGTCCTCTCACTTTCACACACATCTTCATTTTCTTCACTTTCTTCTTTTTTACATACACGTACGTTCACATCTTTTTCATTGAAAACTTCTTCTTTTTCCCTATAGGCTTTAACTAAACGTATGTTACGTCGAGATTTAAATTTAGCAAGCCACGATGTACTAACTTTAAAATTGGAACAGGATGGAATATCCTGTTTCAATCGTGCAGCTTTTTCCAATATTAAACTGTCAGATATAGAATCACCAAGAGTTCTTCTTTCTACGAACCACGTAAACAAGCGGTGCTCCAATTCCTCGAACATCGGTTTTTTTAACCTTTGCCGTTGTCGCTGTCTTTTGCTTTTTGCAGCGAATTCGAGAATACGGACCGTGTTCTTCTTTATGCGACGAATGGTTATTGGATGTACCTGATGCTTTGCAGCAACGGTTGAAGTAGATAAAGTTTTCAAGTCCTCAAGGACCTGTAGCCGTTGTTGCATTGACAAAGTCACTAATTTTTTACTCGACATGATAGTACAGTAAAGATTCTGTAAGAGTTCGTTGGGATCTACACGTTGACTGTTCATGGTCTATCCCCACCACAAGGGGGGACCACCCTTGAACCAGGCAAGCGACTAATGTGACACGGTCACGGCATCTCCTTATCGCATTCGGTGGCGGCTGTCCGTGAGACAATACTAACAAAACTGCAAAACTTTGTTATTTTCAATTTTTCTTTAATAAAAATTTCATCAAAATATTTGTGAGATTTCCCTGATTAAAATCATACTAAACACGATATTGTTACAAAACTTGGTTGTGTTGATTGGGCTTGTGAATCTTCCTTTGCCTGCTACCTTTTTCTACGTTCATTTCGCTGCTGGCAAAATATTTACATGTAAAGAATGAAAGACCTCTCCGTTAAGGATGGCAAGAAACCTGACGTTGCATTGCTTTAAAAATAAGAATACTGTTCGCGAAGGATCTGGCCACGGAGTGGGGAAGACGATGGTCTTCTGGTAAAATTTTTAACATATTAATAAATTACAATTGTTCGCAAGCTGTGTAAACGTTAGTATAACAACTCCTATATGTATTCTTATGTGTCCTTTAAACTCGTCAGAGGTCGAAAATCGTTTCTTCCTATCCATTAATTGATCAAAGGCAATGCGGCTTACGAATAGTTAACGTGTAGAAGAGTGTCCCATTCGAGAATAATCGGATAGGTTCAGTTCTACTACTCGATACATAACTGTTCGTATTTGACACAGCTGTGAAACTCTTAATGGAGAGGTCCTACATTCTTTAGATATAAACATTTTGCTGGCAGCGAAATGAACGTAGAAAAAGGTAGCAGGCAAAGGAAGATTCACAAGCCCAATCAACACAACCAAGTTTTGTAACAATATCGTGTTTAGTATCATTTTAATCAGGGAAATCTCACCAATATTTTGACGAAATTTTGATTAACCAAAAATTGAAAATAACAAAGTTTTGTAGTTTTGTTAGTATTGTCTCACGGACAGCCGCCACCGAATGCGATAAGGAGATGCCGTGACTGTGTCACATTAGTCGCTTGCCTGGTTCAAGGGTGGTTCCCCCTTGTGGTGGGGATAGACCATGAACAGTCAACGTGTAGATCCCAACGAACTCTTATAGAATCTTTACTGTAATATGTATCTTTGTACATAGATATAATAAAAGAGGATCTTTTACATTTCAAACTACTATCTTTAGTGGTTAGATTGAATGTAATTCCTCAATTCACCGCTCTACATCGTAGAGGGCACAACAAACTTCTTATACGATCGGTATTTCAGAATGTGAGACACAAAGCTAATAAGGTGATAAATCTATTCTATACTTCGTCTATGGTTATACCTCATTTATGATATTTTTTGGTAATCTAATAAATAATATTTTATGTCTGCTATCTTTACTAACTTTGATGATTAGATTGCACGTAATTTTCAATCACCGCTTTGAATCCTAGAAGCACGAACTCTTACAAGACAAAAGATCTATACCTCGTCCGTAGTATTATTTATGTTTACATTACAAATAAATCACATTTTTAACTCAAAATTTATTGTACATAAAATTGAATTATCACTTATACCATCTAAAACAAGTTTTTATTTATAAAAGAATATTATTGTAACAACGTGTTCATTTAAAGTTGACATTTATTTGACTTTTATTTGAACATAATCTAAACTGTAATAATAATTATACCATAACATTTTTATTTTGAAAGATAAAAATGAGTTCAAATAAAACAAAGTTATCAAAAAGTATTTTAGAAATGAAGGTAAGTTAAAGAAATTGAAAATAACTCTCTTGCAGTAATATGTAAAATTATGCATGAAATTTGTTATTAATCTGAGTATTACTTATATCAAAAGTTTATGAAACGAACTAAAGAAAAGGTGGAAAAACAACAATTTCAAGAAGAGGGTGAAGAATATTTTGGAAATGAATTAACAAAGCGTATGAAGAAAGAATCGTAAGTTTCGTTTTTAAATGTACAAAGTACCTTTAATACTAATTTTAGATTTAAATTGTAATTTTAATTTTGTATATATTATTTCATATTAATTGCATAATAATAATTAATAATTAATATAATGAAATAAAAAATTTTTAATGAATGGGCGCACACACAGAGGATGGCCCATACAACTGGAACAAGTGATACCTCTTTTTTTGAATGTAATTAAAAAAAAACTTTAAAATGAACTACATTTTCAGGATCATATTTTTTTTGCATGAACAATAATGCATGTGCATTTTACAGTTGTATCATCTTTTTAAATAGTAGAAATATACATTTTTGTGCATAAATCAAATCTTGTCATTCTACATAGAAAATGTACTAAAAACACATGCCCATTTAAAAAAATGATGCAACTGTAAAATGCACATGCATCGTTGCATTTCTGAACAAAGCATGGTTTTGAAAATGTAGCCCTCTTTGAACCATTTACCTTTTTCCTCTAACATTTTCTTTCTAATTGCAATCATAAAGAAAGTATGACTTATTCCAGTTGCATGTACCACCCTGTTTATATAAGACAGGACACTTAAATATGAAAAAACTGTTTGAAGAGATGAACAAAATGATAAAGAGAAAAATCTCTTCGAGATCATTAGTGTTTCTTCAACCACTATGGTACATTTTTTTTCTATATTCTTACAGAGCATAAAAAGACAAATTTAACAACATTAACAACATATCATTTTGATCATTCAATCTTGAGATATTTTTATGAGCCTTTCTGTCTATTTAATATAAAAAAAAATTCAAGTCTACAAGATATCTACAGTGGTTTAAAAAAAAACAGCTTACAACATTTTATCTGGCTCACTCTTTATGTCATTACACACATACACAACATATATTTAAAATAAAAATATAATGCCATTTACAATACAGTTGTAAAATTAAAATTATTTATTTACTTCTTTTCAGAGAAAGGTTTATTATTGAACCTAGTTATGTTTTTTGTGAAAAATTAATTGATGGTAGAGTAAGTTTCCGAGGAATGAACCCTGAAATAGAAAAGTTAATGGAAGCAGAACAGAATAATGAACGTGTCAAAATTGAGGAAAAAAACGAAACAGACATTTCAGATGAACAAATGGTACACCATTGGAAAAAGTTTAGGAAAATGTCAAAAACTGACCGTAAATATGAAAAATCGTTACAAAAACATAATAACAATCATGAACCATTACCAAAGAAACCAAAGTTTTTGAAACCGCAAGATTAGTTTTTGGTATAAGTTGTTTTTGTGTGTATATAATTTACTTTAATGAAATTTTTTACATAAAAATTATATGTGAAATTAAATAATATTGTAGCTTGTAAGGTCA